ATATACCGCTTGCCTCTTTGGCCACACCTTTTGGCCCTTTTCTTGCATAAGAGCTTAGCCATATCTATGTTTGTTTTTGGAGTTTTACAGTTCTGTAAAGTGGATTATTTTTTCGGCCCCTCTTCAATGTTGAAGGGCCCTAAACCTATTTGGAGTTAGCAGCTGTGATGTTTTGCTTCATAATTCTGCACTTTTATGGCCATTTTTGCATGCCATTGTTGCCTATCGTTGCTTGCTGTTTGGCCGATGATTGTACTGTAAAAATTCTTATTTTGAGGCTGCCTTGCTCCTGTCTTATCATCTCCGATGTTACCATTATGCATGCTTCTGTATAGCTGTAAAAGCCATTTCACGTAACTAATCTTGCATTTCGGGAGACGATTCCATGCATCGGTTTGTTTTTCGCCTCATTTGGACGTTTTCCCCCACATTCGAGTCTGAAATTCCTTAGCATGTTTCCATATCATTTCTCCATGCTATTGCACTTGCTATGCCATTGCCTCGGTTTGCGGCCCAGTGACACGCCATTTCGTGAGCAACTTCATTTTCATCCTATCGGGACTCTTATTGTGAGTGTGCGCTAGGCCTCTTCATGTTAGTATAAGTACATGTTGGCATTATATATGGCCGATCTTTAGCCAATTGCATTGCCATATGTCATTGCCTCGTTTGCGTGCCCATGTGAGCACGCATTTCAAGGCCACTTCATTTTCATCCATCGCCTCTTAGTGATTTGTGCTTGCAGGCTACCTTATGTTAGTGTAAGCCCATATCATATTTCCATGTCAATTTGGCATTCGCGCATGTCATTTTCTCGAAGTTTGCGGTGCCCGTGTGCACGCATTTCGCAGGCATCTCATTTTCACAGCTATAGTGCATACTAGTTGTATCTTTTAGTAGATCGCATTCATGCATTTCCTCGGTTTGCAGCCCGTGCGCACGGCTTTGAGGCATCTCATTTTCATTAGCATTGTGCATACTGCATAAATCTTAGTTCATTTCAGCATGTCATTGCATATATGCATCGTGTTCCGGGGTAGGAGTTAAGCCGGGCACGGGAAACGAGGTGCGTTCGTACTCCGAGTGACGGAACGCCTCTCAATCCAAGTCACCACACTCCGTATCATCCAGATGGGCTAGGTTCTTGTTGTGTTTACACGTGCCATTTCATTTATATTGAGTTGCAGCATTTCGACTCCTCGGCCACTATGCATCGTATATGCGGTGATTTGGTGGCACGAGATCGAGGCATGCATATATCTGTGAAAATACATGCTATGCCCCTTTCCTGCTCCTGTTTGCGTAGCAAATGAAAATCACAACTTATTCGGAGTCTGGCACGCTTTCCAAGAATAACTGCTAAAACAGAGGCTAATTGGCGGACATCCCAGGGAATTTCCGCGCAAGGCAGCCCAGACATATAGATTCACAGAGCTAAGGCAGTCCCTGGCTTGCACGCCCAGTTCAGTTTTCTTAGTTAATTTGTTAATTAATTAGGCAATTGTACATATTCGGACTGTAATATTGGACTGACATTCTCTTTTATTCGGACTGTATATTATTCGGGACCCTCGCGCGGGGGAAAAACTGTAAAAGTGTGCGTGAGGTTGGATCGTATGTCTTCCGAACCCCACGTTGTTTCTCCACTTTTATTTACCTGCTCTATGATGGTTAGATTAGGGCATGTTTAAATACCATTACAGGATATTGACAGCACATGTTGCCCATCATTCATCTGTATTGCAGCACCGGGCTCGGCGCATCCATACTAACTGCATTTACTTTCAATTCACAATTGAATTACATGAATTGTAGTCATTCTCAGTATGCCATCTAGAATAGCCGAGCCTGCTATATTGCATTTTCATGTGTTTGCATTAGGCATTTTTGTATACCTTTAGGATCATGCATAAATTTCTAATGTGGTTTCTATTTGCTTGGATACTCGGTAAGTTCTATGCTTAGTCATACCTTGCATGCGTGTGAGTGACTGTCCATGAATAGCATGCTTGTCATGAGGCTAATTGCTTATGTGACTATAACTCCTGAATGCCTGTGGGGTGAAGGTTGGGTTACATTGGATGCGAATAAATCATCAACCTATTTGTTTTAACCCATAGATAGTTGCAAAACCATCTTTTCTAAGCCGCACCTGCGTGGCAAAATTGCATTTTAAAGCCTACTTGCGAGTAGGCAAACCATCTTTCAAATAAACAAACATGAAATATTTTGTTTCCAATTCGGAGCGACCCAGTCTATACTTATTATGCTGTGTGCGATCACATCAGTAACCTAGGCTAATAACCGAATAAGAACATACAATGTTTTCAAAAATACCCCTCATGGTTAGTGAGAGGGCCGATCTTTGATCGGGCGAGCGGGGGTGCTCACAAATGACCTTCCCCAATCGTACCCAAGTTCCGAGCCGAGGCAACTTTGTGATGCAAACGGACACTGTGGCCTTGCATCCCGAGTCAGGGTTTCCTAAATTTCCCATTTAAAAAAAACATTTAAATCGGTGGCGACCTCTTGTATCTGGCAAAGCAGTCCATGTTTGCACTCTTTCAAAAATCTGTTCATTTTCATCAGAAACGATTTGCCGGATTTGGACTCTTTGTCCAGATTAGAACCGTGACAAATTGAAGTCCTGAGTGTAGTCGACCCCAAATATGAACGCAACGGGCTCGTTCCTCCCGGGGCGTTCGGAGACGTGTACAGAGCTGTGCTGAGTAGGATTAGATATTGTGTATAGATTCAGATTAGAATTTTGCCCACTGTATATATGTAACTTTTACTCTCCAGTTGAATAAGATGAAGTTTTATAAGATTCTCAATTATCGGTAATCAAGAGGTTTTGAGCTCTTTGTGAGGGCATGATCCAGGCTTTCACATGGCAGATTCTTCTCCTACTATACAATCCATCCAATTTACTGATTTAAATTTCAATTCTGCTCAGCCCATAGTGAAGCTCGACATCAACAATTTCTCATATGGAAGACACAGATGACGAAAATGTGCTTAGAGCACCCTAATTTTGGATTATCTAAATGGATCAAATCCTTGGTCCATCTCCAGAACTCCATTAATGCATCTATAAAATTCATTCCAAGTCCAGGTGTGCAACAATGGCAACTAATTGATGCACATTTGCTCACTTGTTGCTAACGTGCAACTCTATCTTCATCCATTTATTCTTCTTGTTTTTCCATCGGAATCGACAATGATCAGGTATGTTAGTTCTTGGAAAAACAGTTTACTTCAAGTTCATGGTCTCATATTCATCAACTTAAAATCAAACTCCAAACACTCTGCAAGAAAATCATCTTCAATGGAGGTTTATCTCGTCTCAAATCAAAAGAGCTTTTAGAATCAATTGGCTTTAGCCCCTACCAAGTTGATGATGAGGACTAGTGTTTCTAATCTTGAATGGTTACCAGAGGAGTTATGATGCTTTTAAAACCTCCCTTGGTTACTGTCTGAGACTGTCACGATGGAAAATTTGTCGTTCTTTATGTTCAAAGGCCATTCATGTTGACAAAAACTTTAAACATTCCACTAGAACGATCTTCATGTTGCTCACTCTGCTTCAGAGACTTCAGTCTTCCTCTCAGTGCTGTTTAGAATTCTTCAAATTTAAGTGCAGTTTCATTCCCGCAAGAGCAAGAGGACAATTTATCGAGTTACAGAGGAAGCAGATGATAATAATTTTTGTGGACGGCAGAGTTGAATAATAATAGATCTAGAGGAAATTAATTTATTCTAACTTTGGATGTTAGATTTTTGGAGGTCTGAGTCATACCGCCCTTGACATGTTGCATTTCAAGTGGATCCAATTTTCCAGCCTTCTCTCACAGTAACTCCTCCACAGTCCTCTTTATTCACGTCGAAGGCCTATGCTGCTCAGTACCACAACCTTCCTCTAATCCTTCCATACCTCCTTGTATGTGACCCTGCTGCCCACACCAACTATCGACAAAGACTTGACTAGATCTTCAACAATTTCAGCCTTATCAAGGTCGATGAACATGTTCAAGTTGGTAATGGTTCCTCTTTACCACATCGTCAACATAGTAAAGGTCTCTTGCCCACTCCACATTATCTTTCATTCCTCTCAAACTGTCTTCATGTTCCTACCCATCTCTTCGAAATTCTCTTTAGCTGTCTGCATCAACTTACTAAGATCCATTAATTGTCTTGTTTATTTTTTATGCTAATACTTTGTCACAGGACAATACATGAACAAGGTCTCTGCATAGAGGTTTAATGTCCAATGGCCTCTTATCCAGTTTCATTTTACCTTGCCCTGCATCACTCAAATCTGTCAGTAACATTTCTCTCACTTAAGTTTTCAGTCGTAGCACTTACCATGCCCCCTATGGTCTGATCTGCTTTTGACATCATAGACTAGGCCATGCCATCTTCTTCTAAAAGCTCGATCATATGGCAGCTCTCTTACCAAAAAAAAAATTTCATTGAATAAGGACTCGTCTTGTCCTTGATTGTAATGTCTCTAAATTCATTAGGTTTCTTTTCAAATTGTCTGATACCTCATTAATTGTTCATTTTATTTGGTTAATAGCTGATGTATGCGGACGTCTCTTGCTAACTAGTGGCTAATGCACCTTTTCGTTATAGTAGATTCACTTGGCGGTTTATATCTCGTTGAAATTACAAGAGTGCAGGTGTATCATAAATTGTGTGTATATACAGAAGCCTATATTGAAAATCAGTT